AGTGCTCCGCTTGAGGCGAAGTTGGATAAGTTGATAGAGATTATGCTTGAAGATAAGAGGCAAGGGAAAAGGCCGGTGATGTCGTGCGACTGGTGCTTAAGCACCAATCATGAGATGGCGGAGTGTCAAGCAATGAAGGAGGGAACCACTCCGGAGGAGCAAGTCAACTTTGTGGCAAATTCTAGGGTCAACAACCCCTATAGCAATACTTATAACCCCGGATGGAGGAACCACCCCAACTTTGCTTGGGCATCGCCGACAAATCCGAGGCCCCACGGGAAATTTCCCACCTCGGGCGACCTTCATCCAACAAAGGCCCCAACTCCAAGGCTCAAGCTTCCAACAGCAGTACCAATCACAAGGTGCCCTAGGGTTTCAACAACAACAACCCGACAAGCTATCTAAGCTTGAAGACCTAGTGAATAACTTTGTGAGTACGAGTGCTTAAAAGTTTGAGAAGATAGAGCAATTTATGGAAGCGTTGACTACCAAGTTTACCTCGGTCGAGGCAGGTCTCCGAAGCCAACAAGCGAACCTCCAAAGCTTGGAGGTGCAAATCAACAGCCTTGTCGGCATCCTCACCGAGAGACCCAAGGGGGCCCTACCTTCCCAAACCGTGGCGAATCCAAACAACCATGTCGGGGTGAATTCACTTCAAGTGAGGAGTGTGAATGTGATTTCGGAAGTCTCCACTGAAAAAGTGAAGGAGAAGGAAAATACCAACCTGAAGAAGGGGCGTTGTGGAGGACATGATGGTGAGAGTGGACAAGTTTTGCTATCCAACTAATTTCGTGATTCTCGACATAAGTGATGACTCGGATATGACACTAATCCTCGCTCGTCCCTTTTTTGCCACCGCCAAGGCATTGATAGACGTTAATGAGGGGACCATAATTCTGAGGGACGGTAAGGAGAGAATCAAGCTTGACATTGACCCTCTGGTTAGGAGTGATGAAGTGAGGGAAGTGGTTTCAAATGATGTGAATGAGAGTGGAGGAGAGCCTCTCAAGGGAAACCCCACCATTCCTTGTTTTGCTTTTGGTAATGTTGAGCATGAAATGAAGGAGGGTACTATGCCCAAGGAGAAGAGGAAGAATGTTTGGAGGAAGAAGATGAAAGAAGCTATGGCCCGAAGGAAGGAGAAGGCCAAAGCGAAGTTGGTCAATCAAGAGGGCCAACTCATGGAGCCTAAGACGGGAGGCTACAAGCCTCGCCCCGAGAGTGTAGTGGATCCACTCTCGGAGGCATCACGATCCAATTCGTGATCGATCCCCAACCGTCCAGCTAATGATCGGGAGCTTACCCTCTTCCCTTAGGAAGGCATATTCAAGGTGGAGGCAACGTCTTCAGCTCCAATTCGGGTGGCTCTTCCAAAGAGGTAGGAATCTTGGGCATGGAGGTAAGGCTTCCACTTCCACTTCGGGAATCTCAACGTAGGCTTACCCAGTGCGTGAGGATTGCACCCCTTCTTCTGGGGATTTCGATTCATTTGTACCTACTAAAAAGTACTCCTCAAACGGGTCAGTAAGATTGGCACCCGCAGATGGGGGTGTTGCAATGAAATCAGATACGTCATCACAGTATTCAATATCATCATGAAGACAAGAAAACTTCATGCTATCATCTATGGAGAACGTATCATTCTCCTCCCCTTCCCTAAGCACTAACTTACCCCCGTGCACATCGATTAATGCCTTTGCGGTGTCCAAAAAGGATCTACCCAAAGTAAGAGGGACGTCCACATTATCGTCGATGACAAGGATGACAAAATCGAACGGATAAATGAGGGTCCCAACTTTAATGAGTAGATCCTCAACCACGCCCTTAGGTTGCACTATTGACCTATCAGCCAACTGGATATTCATCCTAGTATCTCTAGGTTCACCTAGGTCTAACTTCTTTAACAATTTGTACGACATCACATTAATGCTAGCACCTAGGTCCGCCAAGGATTTTCCTATTCGTATATTGCCAATAAAACAAGGGTAATGAAACTCCCTCGATCCTTGCGCTTTGCAGGTAAGTGGTTCTGTAGGATTCCTGAGCATTCCTCATTCAATGTCACCAAAGTCATTCCCTCAAGCTTCTTCTTGTTGGTGAGGAGGTCTTTCAAGTAATTTGCGTACTTGGGCATCTGAGTGAGGGCCTCAACAAATGGAATGTTGAGGTGCATTTGGTTCATCAACTTCATGAAGTTGGCGAACTCTAACACCATGCGGTCGGTGTGGAGTCGGGTGGGGTAAGGAAGAGGTGGCTTCTCTTCCCCTTTCTTCTATTCTCGCGGGGTTGAGTCCACCTTATCCTTCTCTATCACACTTGGATCCCTATCTTGCTCAGGAGAAGTTGAGGTTTTGGTGTGCTCTCCTACCCCGGGAGGCTTCTTCTGGAGAGGTACTTCTCTCATTTCTCTCCCACTCTGAAGGGTCACCGCCCTTAGTTCTTCCTCATATGATTGTCTTTGTGAAAGGGTTGCTCGTGAGATAGCCCCCACCCGGGTGGTCAAGGTTGTCAAGTGCGATGGGTGACTTTGCAACCCCGACTTTATGGCTGGGAACTTCTCTGTCGCCTCCCCCATGAACCTTTCTATGTTTACGAACTTTTTGGAGCTGGTACTGAGAAAGGTAGTTACCAATTCCTCCAAAGCGAGCATCCTGTCTGGATTCGAGGGGGAGATAGAATACAACTGCTCACACGAGCCCTCTTCCTCCACCATCACTTGGCGCTTCGTCCCTTCATAGCTTGCAGGCACACTCCAATCACACAACTCTACTTATTTATTCTCTGGCTTCTTGCCCTCTAGGAATGCCTCGATCAATCGGTCAATCTTGGCTTCAAGCGGGGGACTCGCTCCTACACTTTGCACTTATTGTCAAGACACAATCATACCCTTTACTTGCCATGTCTTCGAGCAACTCGGTCACTTGGTGTGGACTGTGGAGTCATGTTCATCAATTTCCCTTGACATAAGGAGTCGATGAGGATCTTGTCGTCTTGGTGGAGACCACCATAGAAGGTCTCAATCCGGAATTTCTCCTCGAATCCATGATGTGGGCATTGGAGGATTTTTCGGAGTACCTTTCCCGAACATCCCTCAATGTCTCATCTTCCTCTTGCTCAAAATGGGTGATCTTCTTGCGCCACTCCGCCGTCTTTAAAGGTGCGCAATACTGAGTCATAAACTTGTTGAGCATATCATCCCATGAAGTGATCAAAAGAGCCAACCTATTGTTGAGCCACCGAGACGCATTCCCTGCAAGAGAGTAGGGGAATAGCCTCAACTTCAAAGCATCCTCGGGGACACCATTGATCTTCAAACTCCCCGCAAGCTTAATGACCTTTTGAACATGCTCCCTTGGAGACTCATTGCTAAGCCCATGTAATAGGGCATTATTTTGAATCATGGTGATAAGGGCTGGGTTGATCTCAAAATTGTTGGCCGCCATGGGTGGATGTCAAATGGCGGGTTGAATAGCCGCCGACCTTGGAGCCATGTAATTGCCCATGGTCCTCGGTTCCCCAGCAACGGCAACAAAAACTTGACTCAACCCGAATGCACCACTTAGAAACTCCCGATTAAGGCCCAAGTATAAACCTTAACCGGGTGCAGTACAGGGCAAGTATATTTAAATTTCGACCCGGGCCGGGTCAAGAACCCCATTTCGGTTGTTTGTAACATTATCTAGCGGTTGGTTTTAGTGAAAACAAAGGTCTAAAGCTAAAGTACTTGCAATGAGGAATGGTTTTGACACTAATTGAGAAGGCTTCCCCCGAGTGTTGCTCCCCCTTGATAGCAATTACGACTTGATGGATCGAATGACCGTGTGTGGTGAGGGGGTTGTAAAACGTAGGGAAGTCTAACAAGTAGGCAAAGCTACCCTCTTAGTCTCTAGGTCGAGGAAAGGGGATACGATCCAAGCCACTAATGTGAATCTCTCATCCTATTGACTAAGGATTGGTTAGACTTCACCCTCGAATCGGAGTTCGGACGACAACCCACAACCAAACCCTAGGTGCTAATACGAAATAGGAGGTTTGCCCTACATTAATCTAACTAGGAGACAATGAACTACCTAGGAAAACACAACATTCAAGCCTCTTTCAAAGAAAGGAATGAGGTTTTCTTGCTACCTAGGTTAAAATGACAATTAGATTGATAGGCTTTCACACAACACAATCATTCATGAATAATACCTCCACATTCACATTAAACACAACCACACACAAATCATTCGTTCATACAAGCATTCGCATAATTGTAGCTAGGATTTCAAGCACACAACTGAAAAAAGGGACTACTCCGTGCTAGGAGAAGGGAAAACACAAAAGAGAATAAGGAAAACCATCAAAGAGATGCTAGTCTTGCTCCTTGTGTTGGAGAGATCCTCATTTGGGGGAGAAATTCACAATTCCTTGCTTGAAGATGAAACCCTAGCTTCTCTTCTTCTTTGATTCGTCACTTTCTCACTATAGAAATTTGAAGAAGAAGAAGAAGAAGAAGAAGAAGAAGAAGTTTCTCACACTAGGTCTCCCCATTTTCTCCTTTGGCTCAACCTCCTTTATATACCCAGATCGGGCTTGTTCACTGTCTAAGTTCACGGCCGTGAACTGAAAGCACAGACCGTGAACCAACGATGAAATGCGCCGCATCACTAAAATCTGTTCACGGGCGGAGGTCTGAGGTCACGGTCTTACGATCGTGAACTGGCTTGTGTCCAGTGAAACCCTCCAGTGCTCTGGATGTCTGGTAGTTCGCGGGGAGCACCTCCAGTACACTGTATTAGTGACCATGAACTCACAACACAAACCGTGAACTACTGTTGTTTCCATCGTTTGACTTGATCTTTCACCCTTACGTCGAACTTTCGATTCTGGGGTTGGTTCCACCTTCTAAAGCCTGAACCATACCAAAACAAGGCACAACCCGGCGTAAAACCAAACCTCCTGGAATAAAATTGTATCAAACAACTAAGCAAACCGAGGGTAAAAAGTGTACAAATGAACCCGAATTCTATTTTTTGCGTAACAAAGAATTGAACGCGGAAGAGGAGAAGAGGGCTTCTCGATGCTTCAACACAGCCTAATAAAGCTAACACAAGTTTGATTTCGTCTCCATTTCACTACTGTCAACTCCAGTAACACTTCACTTCTTATAAAGAAAAAAACACCAATACCTCCTCAGGTTCATTAATGAGCTTTTACTGATGTGGCGAAAAAATGGACCAACAGTCTATCCGAATTTGGACAACTTAAGGGCAAGAGTTGGGTTAATAATGTGGTGCGGTGGCAGCTGAATTGGACTAATTTTCAGCAGAAAGATAAAAAAGAATCACAAACCAAAAAGCATCCCAGGGGTCAAATTAAGCTACAGGGATGAATCACCCCTACTGAATAGGATAACGAGGGAGCAGCGGAAGCTCTTATTCCAGTATCTAAGCTACAATCTGTGACATAGTCTTGCTTGTTTCCCTTCTCTGTTTTCAGTTCTTTGCTTTTCCAGATATTCTTCTACTGGAGGGAAACAACATTGATTCGATGTCTTTGGTCTCCAACAAACCTGCAGAAGAAGCTGGGAAATGTGTTCCTTTCTTTAATACCACAAGCATTGATGTCATGACAACAAATTTTCGCACATCTAGAGAGCAAAACAGTACAATATGACACAGTGAAGTACCTTAAGTTGCAGCTTGATTTTTGAAATGTTCCTATAATGATTTATCAACCCTCAAAGGATACGAGGAGCTATCCTCATTGAGCTCCGAATTTTCATCCATCTTTTTGCATATGTAGATGAAGTGAGAATCTGGATCTTGCAGAACATAGTCTACTGGAAGTAAGCCATTCTCAGTGATTGGAACTGGTTCCAAATATGCACATGATGATGATGACGAACCAGGAGCAGGTTTATGAAACCCTGGCCTTGCTGAATAAGAGAAAAAAGCAACCAAAATACAAGTAAAGTATCAGCACTAAGGCCATGCCTAAAAGAATGCTTTTATAATATTAGTCTTAATACTCTAAAGCACTCCCCTGAACCATTCTCCTTCATCCTAGCAAGAAAAAATCATCACAAGAAGTTGCAGATAGCTTAAGAACAAAAGTTTTATAGAAATTTATCACCAAACTGTGGAGAGAAAACCAGAAGGCTATCACGTAAGGTTAAAAGCACATAGAATCTTACGTATTATATACAGCATAATCTTCCAATTGTATACTGGGCGCATCAAATGAGGCATCCTTACCTTGGGATCACCATAAGTTATCTGTTGAAATAAGAAAAGCAAATCAATCAAGACATGAACTGCCTCCTCCAAGCCAAAATAAAAATAAAAAATGGTAGCTGGCAAGAATCAACTGGGGCATATGGTTACCAACATATAAGTTCCTCCAGGCTTCAGCAGCCTACAAACCAGAAAACGGAAGAAAGAGCACAGGTTTAGGTCAATCAAGTCTCAGGGGAAAACTATACTTAAATGAATGAAGCGCCAATGTACTGTCAACCTGCTCACTTCTCCGAGCATCTGAGCAGCACTAATTGGGGCATCGTTGCCACACTAAAATACATATAAAAAGTTAAGAAAAAAAGTTAGAAAATGAGCACCATTTCTAAACAACTGCATAATGAACCATGGGGAAAAAAAAACTTATCAGTTATCACCATACCATTAAAGAATCAAGAGTCCCTGGAATGACAAATGTATGCCCAATGTTTCACCACCAAATCCGAAACATCAACACAAACAACAGCATCAACATGTTAGGTTTCTTAAATTGCAGGAAAATAAATGGTAGCATAAGAGAGAGCATCTAAGGAGGAGAAAGGGTCACACATACCCTTGTCAATGACACTGCCAAATGAATCATCTGCGAACGCACTCATATCCCTGACATCCATTTTCATGTCTATGATAGATCATAAAGGAAGCTCAAATAGACCAAGGAACAGTCAATAACAATGAATTCGTCAATTACACAGATTCACGAACTAAAAAAGAAGTTCGCAAAGAGGATACATTTGAGCTGAGGGATGTACTCATATTTTTTGCTCATCATTTCGATTGCAACTGAAGAGATATCAATGTTCATTATGTCTTCATACCCATCCTTCACCATATCCTCTGACATCACTAGAAGACAGAAACAAATGAAGCGAAAGTATGCAATAAGCTGAATGAGCAATCATGTCAGCTACTCATGATTCCTCTCATTTGATTTTGCTTCCAAGGCACCGCAGATGGATAAGAAAACCAAAATACAATGACATAGACAACAACACGGCCACTCCTTGGTCAACCCAGTTGAAATCCTACCCAGAGACAAATTAAATGCAGAACGCGAATCGGAAAGAACCTAGCAGATAAAATGGGGCAAGTGAAGCTTAATTTGCTGTAAGGTATGAACCATTCATCATTTCTATTTCATAGTGCCCAAACAGCACACCCAGCAAAGAAACAGCAAAAGCATAAAGAGTAGGAGATCATTCAAGCAATATCAAAGTAAATCCCACATCAAAAGAATTCCAACTAACCAGATTTTTATACCAACTAAATCTCAAGAGTCTGGGCCAATAAAACCGAAACGTCATGAAACAACAAATGGACCCTTCGAGCGGTAAGAAAATTCCAGACACAAATAGATTCAAATAAGCGGATTCCCGTTCGAGCAGAATCACATAAATAAGCGCAAGAACAAGTAAAGAGGAAGAGGGGCGGGGGATAGAGAGTTACGGGCATTGCCACAGCCCACCATGAGGACGCGTGAAGAAGTGGGGACGTAGTGGCGAACGAATGGGCGGAGAGAAGAGTACCGCTGGTACCAATCGAAACTCCCAGCCTCTTCAACGTAGCGAGCGTCCCAATACAGAGCGTCGCCATAGTTGTACGTACTGAAGCTGGACACATCCCTCATCATTTTCCTATTTTCAGTTACTCCTCTCAGCGTTTCTGCCCAATTGAATTGAATTTATTGGTCGTCGGCCGCAACTTTGGGCCACCGTCTGGCGTCTGGCTCCGCGGTGAGGGGCGGTGGTGGGGTGTAAAATTTGGTTGAGATGTAGGAAATGGACAGAGATATAGAAAAGAGCGTAACGCAACAAACAAAGCGGGTGGTTTGTTCTAGCGATTTGTAAAGGGGAGTTGAAATGCATTTTTCTTTTCTTGGTGCAAAAGTTGAAATGCATTTTTATGAAGGTTGTCAAACCATATTCAAACCGTTCAAATGACCAGTTTCGGTTGAACCGGTTGGTGGAATTCAGGTTTGACAACTTTGATTCTTACCATTTCTTTAAAATTCTCTCTATGATTAGAGTTCCTGCGAATTGATCTTCACTCGACGGCGGTCGTTATTGACATAGCCTAGCCGGGCGCCGTTAGTGACGATCGCTCCTGGGCTTCTCTTCTAGCTCCGAGAACATTCACTTGGAGTATTTTGAGCCGAAATTTTTGCGGTTTCCTGCTAAATACATTCATTGGATTCAAGTATGCAATCGTTATGCCTTCTTTAGTATTAGCATTCATGGGTTTTTGTTTGGGTATTTTGCCAAAAAGAAAGGAGTTAGACAGGGGATCCCTTATCCACCTTTTGCTTTTGAACCATTGTCAAGAATGCTTGATCTGCATGCTCAGTGTTCTCATCTTCCCTATTACCCTCAGTGCAAAATCGATTGATCTGACACACATTTGTTTTGCGGATGATCTATTGATTTTCATTGATAGGTCAGTTGTTGCTTTGAATACTGTGAATAGTTTGTCTCGTTTCTATATAGTCTCGGACTTGAAGTGTACTATCAACAAATGTGAGGTATTCTTTGGTGGATTGGCTAATCCGTATAAAAAGAATACTCTTGTAGTGAGTGGGTTTAGGGAGAAGAATTTGCCAGTAAATTATCTGGGGTTCCCTTTAATTTTTGGCAGATTAACAAGTAGGAATGTAAGATTTTAGTTGATAAGATCACATGCATGATTCGGACTTCGAGAGCCAACAAGCTTTTCTATTAGGGCAAATTCAATTAGTCTCCTCTATTCACTGTTTTAGTTTTGAATGTCGATTTTTGTCATTCATAAGGGTATTATAGACCAGATTCGTAAGTTGTGTTCGGTACTATGAGGTTTGACGTATCTTAGAATATCTAAATTGTTGTGGGAGGGTGGGTGATATGGGTGTGCTCTGCACATAAAATTTGCGTTAAATTGAATTAATTATACTATTGGAACAATCTATGATAAGTTCACTTACTCTTAGGGAGGTTGAATGGAAACTTCAAAAAATATTCCTATGAGTAATTTGCAGAGAAAAGCAAATTTGACTTGTGTGTATAAGAGTTGTTGTTTTGTCCTCTTTTCTTGACGGCCCCTCCTTCTATTTGTTGCCACAAGTAAAGTAGGGACCAGAGTAATCATCATGTTGAGCTAACTCCCCACATTCTCTTCCACCACTCGAACATGGTTCAATTGGTTAATGGTTGCCTCTATCCCAATCTCAACAACTTCCCTTGCAAGACGCCACATTAATAACCTTGATGCTTTAGGCGATTTGCTTGAATAATTATTACATTGAAGACTTGGTGGAAATCTGGTAGGTGTTAGTCTCTTGTCTAATAGGTATCTTACAGACTCGGATGGACATGTGGCCATGGGGTCTTCATTTCGATTGTGCTATTTAGTTTGGAGTATGATGGCCTCCTAGTTATGTGTCATGTTTGACACCCATAGAGGTGCCTAAATGACAAAGTGTACTTGAGGGGATTTGTTGATGGTGGTGTCCATGATGGATACCCTATGGCTTCGACAGAAAACTTCCATGCTTGACACTTAAGGGAACCTTGATAGTAGGGCACAATGCTTGAAATTAAAAGAGATGTCTTGACAGTTGACATTAGGAAGCCCACCATATTTGATGGCCTCGAGACCTTATGAAGAAGGAGTCGACAATGATGAGTCGTAAGAGAGACCACGAGGAATGCCTTACCCTTATGCCTCTCATTGAGGTTGTCTTTCTTAGTTTCGTAAAGGGTATTCATGATCGAACTTTATTGATGGATTCAACATCCAAGTGAAGAAGGTATCCACATTAAACCCCTTGGACGTTATCATGTTTAACACCTATGAAGTCTTTTTGGTTAAATATCATGCATTATACTTGGGAGGTCTGGCATGCTAGATGGCCTCGATACCTTGATGACGAAGGGGCCAAAGATGGGTATTTTGTTTAGGGTCTTGGTGTGTAAAGTTTCTATGATGGACCCCTGGTGGACTTGCAATGGATGTTCAACATGGCCCTAAAATCCATATTTCACTACCCAATTTAAACTAATTTAAGTAATGTAGTTAACTTATCCTTATAAAGCACCCATATTCTTGAATTTAATGAAAGTGGTATAAGACTAACTTTAGGTGAAATAGTGTGTCACAAATCTATAAATATCTTATCTCCATACATACATGATAGGTATCGAAATTCATAAGCATGAAAACAAGCACAATATGAAATCATAGAATCGATATATAAATATATATACATATGGTAATGACTGGTATACTCCAGGAGTCCGTTTTTGAGCTTCGACCAATCTCAACGTTCAATTAATTTTTTTCTAAAAGATCAACGAGTTCACATTCTTAAGCAATCAATTTTGAACTAGCTATACATAGAAGAGAAGAGGGTACCATACCACCATTGATGATAAAGACATCTCATTAGCTACAACCTCTCCTACGAATGCTAAGCTCTCACTTGAACAGAGTGTCTACAAAATTTTTACTGGATATGTGCAGCCTCTCGAACTAATGAGTCTAGATCCCTATTTGTGGAGGCAAAACCCTATTAGGATACGATATCTCTAACTTAGGGCCAAAACAAGGCTTTCTATATATATTTTTGGGCTTGGGCCTTTGAGTGCTGGCTGGATTGCGCCGGAAGCACCTATTTTCTTTGTCGGCTCAGTTCCATGGCACATAAGCAACCTCTCTTGAAGATTTTTCCGTGATTTGACCAAATTGGCTTGAGAGGCTATTGGACCAGGCATTGGACCACCACTATTTCGTGCTCCGGTTTGGACTGAGTCTTCCTCCACTAGGCTCCTCCTAGGCTCTGGTTGTGATTCTGAGTAGGCTTCTCTCTTGTGCTCCTTTGTTCTCCTCCTAGGCTCAATGCTTGATGCAAATCCTCCAAGTTCTTTAAATGGCCATTAATTAAATAATTATGATGTAATTATGAAATATATGAAAATGTACTAAATATGCATTGATAGAAGGGGAAAATATATCAAATAAAGCGGTAATAAACACTATAAATTGAGTGTCATCAATGCCCACATGCTGGAGAAGTGATTGGAATTTGTGATTGGAAGGTAAAAAAAAAAAAACAAGAACTGCCTATGATAGCAATAATGATAAAGAGGAAAGTAAAATCTAGCTAAATCTTACCCAAACAACAAAATCAACACAAGATAACTAAAGGGAGTATAAAAAGAAAACAAGAAAATGAAGAAGATTATAAGACATACTAACACATTACCAAGACAAAAATACTTAAAACACAAGAACAAAACTACGTAAAAAATAATGTTGTAGGGGTAGAGAAAGAATTCTAAACTAATAAACCTATTCCTTTCATATAACATAGAAAGTCCTAGACAATGGCGCCAAAAACTTGACACGCTCGAACTAACACTCCTAAAAAAGGCAAGTCAACCATTGATATTGTCATAGTATATTGGCTTCAAACTATAAATTATTGTATTCCTCGAGTATCTAGGTTTACTAGTACTCAAATTTGAATTATTATCTAGCAAATTTGAGTTTTTGGTTCGGTTACTTCTAATAACTAAAACTACTCAAACAAACAATGAAATGATTAACTAAAGTAACTGTGTGCGTCTCAAAGAGAAAAAGCTCACACAGGTAACAATGCCCCTATCCACTAGATTAATAAGATTAATGATACTCCAATTTCTACCCATTGTTCATAATGCGGAGAGTCCTTAACCAGCCTTGATTAACTAAATTAACCATGGAATTTTGACCTGGATTCACACCAAATAAAAAATAGTTATTAGATTCACTATCGTACAATCACCCCCTACTTCCAATCAATGCTTGTTCAAATTGACCTAATTTTCTCTCCTAGGGCAAAACTGAAAGTACCAATACTTGATCAAAGCAAAGATAATTGATGGATAACGCATCAATGGGATATGAAGTTGGACTTTAACAATTTAGAGTACTCATAAAATCAACAACTCACACCCAATACAAAGTACTTTCATTTAGAATCCCTCTAACGGAGGTAATTTGACTTAGACTCCCTTTAACAAATTCACACCCAATACAAAGTAGTTGGTACATTCACTTTTGCACAATCAACCCGAAACTTCCAATCAATGTTTGCTCTAATTGACCTAATAAGATAGTCTTTATCCTAAGGCAAAGCTTAAATCACCAATACTTGATCAAGGCAGAGATAAATCATGAACTATGCATAAATGAGATATGAACTTGGAGTTCAACAAGTCACACAAGTTATAATATTCATACAATCATCAACTCAAACAAACATAGATAGGGTTCCTCATACAAAAATGAAAGGGGAAGAGTACTCCATAAAAAGAGAAGAAATCATCAAAGAGAAAAGAATTGACTTCATGATGATTTGAATCTTCTTATGATCTGAATATTTTTTCTAGGCTTCTTCATTGAGTTCTAAAGGGGATCTCTCTATTTCACTCTCCAAGGTTAACTTATCCCTCTTGGGTTTGTCACTTAGTTTTTCTCTTTGCAAATCTCAGCTCTCCACTGGAAAATTGGCAAAAATGTATTTATACCTGAGTAGAGGCAAAGTCACAATCGTGACTTCCATAGGGTGAGAATTCTCACAGCTGTGACTCACCAAAAACTTCACATGGATAAGTGGTTTGGGAGACAGTCACCAGAATTTTGAACATTTCAAAATAATCACTCATCACTCAACCAATGGGGATAGGACCAAAAGTTATGCAAAAGATGTGCATGACAATACTCTCAATGCTATCATCTCGTTGGCATGAAGCTAACCCCTAAATGTTTTGCAGTTTGATCGAATCTCTATACATGGGTCACCACTAACTTGTCTGGAGG